CCGGTTACTGGTCGGGTTGCGGCTCGGCCCGGTTACTGGTCGGGTTGCGGCTCGGACCGGTTACTGGTCGGGTCGCGGCTTGGCGCGGTTACTGGTCGGGTCACGGCTCGGCCCGGTTACTGGTCGGGTCGCGGCTCGGCGCGGTTACTGGTCGGGTTGCGGCCCGGCGCAGCGCGGCACGCGGCCGGCTGGCGGCGGCCCGGAGCCGTCGGCGGCGCGCCCCGCCCCAGGCCAAGAATACCCGGCGTCGCCGCTGGGCAAATATAGCAGGCCGGCGGGCGGGGGCGCGGCTGGCGGCCGCAGACGGGGACGCCGGCCGCCCGGCGGACACTCGTCACACCCAGACGGCTCCAGAGACAGCGCAGATACAGCAGCACACGGGCACCCAAACCACACCCAACAAAGCAGGCAGTGCACCTCACCCGAAGCGTGCATTTATTAACTGAATTTGCCCGGTTGATGGCAGCTACCTGATTGATACGTCGCGTCAACAACAAACTCAGCATGCGATTGGAAAGTTGTTCATCCAAATAATTTGGAACAGCCGGCTGGCGGTATCTTACGAACCTGACAAAAGATCTGCCATGAACGGGGCACAAGGCTGAAATGCAGCCTGGTTCATTAACCCAAATGCGTTTAACCTTGTCGATGCTGGCGTTTGTTATCTGCTCTGCTTTGGATCCCTATTTCGTGCAATAATACGACATACGCGCCCCACTTATACGTAAGATCTAGCAGTGTTTAACATCGGATGACATGTGATGTGACAGGTGAGTGTTGTTAAGATAGGTGACATGTTCAAGCCAGATTTTCCGAAATATTTCATAATCTTTCAGACGTGTCAACACAGGGATATTGGGTGAACCACGATAACCTTTAGGCAATTGAAGCTTAAGTGTTTTCAGAATTCAGCGAAAATTATTTGTAGATGGCTGAGAGCCGCCACGTGTTAATGTAGTGTTAACGTATTATCTATGCCAACGATGACGTAGTGTCCACATGCAACTGACACATTTGCGTGAAGACACCTGTTTTTTGGCTTTTTCCACAACGCATGCACCATTTTGATTGCTGCTGCGTTACTCTGATTACTGTATTCGACTATTTTGATGGCTTGATTGCAGTGACACAGTGGCAGTGGTGACGTCAATACCATATCTGCCCGCAGAATGTTGTCAGCTGCGAACGCTCCATGAATTTCAAAAGACCTTCAAATTCATGTAGAAAAAAAACAATTGAGAGATCCTTTCCATTTCTGTGCATACAGCTCTCACATACTCGACCAGTAACCGGGCACCACGGGAGGTCATCTGTCGACCGTGCCCGTCTGAGCGGTCCCCGGAGTTAGCCCCTGAACGGTCCCCTCCCCACATCATCTCCTGAACGGTCCCCTACGTCATCTCCTGAACAGTTCCCTACGTCATCTCCTGAACGGTCCCCTACGTCATCTCCTGAACGGCCCCCCGCGTCATCTCCTGAACGGCCCCCTACGTCATCTCCTGAACGGTTCCCCACATCATCTCCTGAACGGCCCCCCGTTATGCTCACGATCACGTCGTCTTGCGCGATAAATCGAGGTTCAAAACCGGCTCTGGACCAGCGAGCTGTGAAATGTCAAGAGGCAGCCGCGCAACGTCTCTGCCCAAAGTATTGCCAGCGAGTAAAGCAAGCACCATTATAGCAGCAGTTTCCCGTTCCGTGTGCCACGTGTCATGTACACATACGGGTCACGGATGGAGCTGCTCGGTTTTCGACCGTTTGATGCATTCCATATGGCTATTCGCTGACCAGAACAGATACGAACATAAACCACAAGCTGTGGCTTACAGTAGTGCTCCATAAACAAACGAACCCGCGGCTGACTTAACTCTTTCCGACCCACGGCTGCGCCGCCAATAGGCAGTATGTCAGCACGGCGACGCTTCGAGACTCGCTCCCCAGCACAAGTCACCGTCGCCAGACAACGGTGATTTTCACCCGGTAAATGGCAGCATGTTGGAATCTACTTAAGTCAGCCCATATCACGGACCAGAGCAGACCACGTTAACGTTTTTGATGACCGTCGTTAGGAGTCGCCAAAAGGCCAGACATTTTCTGTGGACACTGGCCACAGCGACCTCTTTCATAGCCCAGTCGGCTTACGCTCCAGCGTAGTATATTTGAGATCTTCTTGAGAGGGGAAGCCATTGACCCCCGCACGGCCGATAACTGACGCACCTCGGGAGTGGTCTGTTTTAAAATGACGGAACGATTTCCAGACAGAACACTCATCTAAACCGAGCAGCTGGCTGTGCGTGTTTATCTCCCTGTTTGTTGGGATGGCCAGGGTTACCCTGGTTATCATCAATATGCAAAGAATTCCTGACGTGGATCTATAAAATGTACCGCTGGTTTGGCAGCGCTGCAGCGCCGGCCGTCGACGTCTGTGCTCATTTTCAGGCCGAGCGGGCAGCGTCTTCGAGGTAGGCAAATTTCACCTTTTCCAAGTTCATCGAATGAAGAAGGCCATATTTTGATCACACTGAAAGGCGGCAGGAAATCACGTCTGATCAAACAACGTGCGTGGAAATAATCTGAAGTTTACACAGCGCATAATGCACAGAAATTCGCCTTTTGGTGTCATTTAGCATGAGACGCTTCGCTGGTTGACACTCATACTGCTACCACACGTTTTAGGACGAATATTTCAAGAAGCAGACGACTCATTTTGCATGAGTTGGTGCGGAGGGGATGGGAGGTGAGGGGAGGGGCAGTGACAAATGAAGAAACCTATCCCCAAAATTCGTCAGCAAACGCGTTTCTCCCCAGACGTGGCCACTTCCATCAAACAGTTCGGTGAGGAGCCAAACGCAAAACTGGGTAGGAAACTACAACCCGTCAAAAGCCCATGTTTTGCTTGCTGCGGGCCGGACCAGGGAATGGTGAATGGATCTGAAGCAATTCTGTGCGTTGGAACGGTCACACTTCTTGTCTGGTTATCTTTGCTTTCGTCCGCCATCGTTTTTTCCTAAGGGAAGGGATGGATGGTCTTCGAGCCCCGCAGACGCCGTTTGAACGCACTGGCATGCCCGAGCTGCTACTAACCGGCGTATGCTGTGCCACGAATTTGTATGGTAAAGCGCAGAGCGCACGCCCACCCGGTCTCTAGCGAACGCCCTGAGAAGCGCGCTCCCGACGTACACGGTATGACAGGGGAGCAGCTGGCTGGCCCCTGGCTATCACCGGCATCGCCTCTTCAGCAGAGAGAGTCGGCGAAATTTGTGTCGATGAACACATCACCGGTATCACCTAAAGCATTTTGTGCACAAAATGGTCAGAAGTGATAGGGCTGGTGGATGACCTCGGCATAGTTCGCCTTGTCATATGGGCTCCAGTGGTAGAGGCGAGTGTTCGTAATCAAAACCAGTTTACAAACGCGACCTTGCACGTTTTCCTGTAACACTGTGCCCAGGGTGATGCAGGAGAGTATTAAACTGCCTATATGATTTGCAGGTAGAGGGGGGTAGCACATTCAGCAATACTGTGTGCTTCAAACTGAGTTTGTATCTGCTTTAGTTGCCAGGACATGACAGAAAACATCAGTAACTGAAGTGTGCATGGTTTGTCCTTGACATTGAGCACACATGATCTAATACTGTATATGTCCACTGATGCACATACATCCCCACTATCATAGCCTGTTTTTCCCCAGTCAAATGGTACTGATCCTGATTTGCTATGGTCATAGCCTATCAAGATGTAAGCCTGTTTGTCCCTCCCATGCTTATCTTTTTGTAACTTCTGTTAATCCATTTCTTTTACCCATTGATGCAGATGAAAAATATGACCAAACACCTTGAAGGTGTCCTAAAAACATTGTAGCATAACAAATAAATAATGGTGCTTATTGCGACTGAGCCAGAGGTGTTATGAACACAGAGGTGAATGTCATTAGGGCTTCAATTTGTTATGGTCAGAGGTATCAACAAGAAAAACATCATTGCCATAATGTCAGATAGTGGTTTTTAACCATTAATGCCTAAACCCACATAGCTTAACATTTTTGGAAATGCTTCAATTACCTTCCAGCCCCTTGGTATCTCACATTTGTATCAATTGCTCAAGGCAGTTGGCTTTAAACTTATTTATGGGTATTGTGTTAGAAAGATTATGCTAAACTCCATTCTAGTCATTGCAAGTCATGATTACTTGATATATTGCATTTACATGCTGAAGTAATTCACAGAAAATGTTTGATGTTATATCTATGATGCCTAATAAGTTTGGGCATACTTAAAACAGTATGCTGAAACTGGCATTGTAAGAATACAAGATTTTCAAATTTGATAATTCTTAAACATTCTAAACTTTTACTCTGGGAGGGAATGGCTGGAAGTATAATCCAGAGAAATACTTCTGAACAAATGTATGGGTATATGTCTTTAACCAAGGGAAAATTTAGCAGCTTTGAGAACATAAGGGCATACACAAACATACCCATCCAAATTATTCATGATAAACAGTCTACATTGGAAAAAGCAGCATTACCTTCAGCAGCTCTGGTAGGCAAAAACAAGCACAGAGAATGAAGGGGTTGGAGACACTGATCTCTTATTCAATGGTATGGGTAAAGTAACCCACTGCTGAGTTCTGTAAGGGCTGGGAACTCCTCCACAGTCCTCTTGTGGCCAAGTCTATGGTCAGCCATAAGCTAAAATATGATAAGCATGTAATAAAGATCATTCATGGCTTTGACCCAGAAAACCTGTGCCTACATTTAACCTTTGTTCATCTCCTGTTTTAGCAAAGCTCAGTTTACCCACAGAATCTCAAACAACTAGAAGCATTAATTTTTGCAACAGTTTATTGCGCTCTTCCAGACGAGCTGGGGAATTCCAATTCCACATAGCATGGTGTCCATTTATCCCTCTAGCGCTTGGTACCAGCCATCTGAAATAGTTACCTAAGACTATCCCAAACATGAATGAGCCATTTAACATAAAATTTTCATGGCAACTTACCTGCACCAATATCTTCTCGCACATAAAAGCAAGTAATGGCACAGTGAGCAATATCAAAGTATGGAAATGGATTAAGCTTCGTCACTTGGTTCGCCAGGTCCAAGAACGCCTCCGGATCCATGTCGAAATTCACTGACTAAAGGTACAGTATGGAAATAAAGTACCTGCCGACTGGGCTCTACCAATCACAGGTCAAAACACGGACAGAATTACCACCGCCACGCACTCCCGCGCCCCTCACATGCACACGATCAACGTCAAACCGGCGACTTTGCTTCGCACCCCGCAAGCAAGCAGACGTACTTCTTGGCGCTTCCAAATTCTGGGATTGACTCGGAAAATTTTAGTATAATATTATGGTAAACATTTTACGCCCGTTCAACGTAGCCCACCAACTTTATTGGAACCAATGAGAGCTCAGTATGCTTCCACAACATTCAGTTTTGGGATTAGAGCCCTTTTCACCAGACATGATCATTTCAGGGCTGTGGGACGAAGGAAAATGGTTGACGATGGGGTAGACGTGCATGCCCCTGGGGGGCCAACTGCCAAGCTTTAACCCGCGTATGTTCGGGTACCCGGTCGGGGCCCCCCTTCCCACGGGGGCTCTCGGCCCACTCGTGGCTGACGCATGTAGCCTGCCCCGAACAAGCGGGGTGTCGCGAGGACGCAGGATGAAGCAAGATTGAGGATGAAAAGGACGGATGCCACACCATTCATCTGCAATGGCTAGCTGTTCCTATGGGTATGCGGCGGAGGTGTCATCTCTTAATTTCCATTCAGTCTAGAAGGGAAGGCTCAATTTAGAAAAAGGATGGCCAAAGTCGAGAAAATAAGTTCTTTTTGGATTGTGAGAGCAGGTTCTAGTTATGTTTAACTGCTCAGCACGCTTACAGGTTTTGAGAAACTGCACTTCTGCTCTGGCGTGGATCAGTAGCTGATATTTACTCACTTCGTATCCAGTTTGCTTCATGCTAACCGTGAACCAGTACCGTTGGCCACATTCTGCATGTTTGTAGGCTCAGGGGCGATCTATCCCGGAGTTTTTTTTTGGCGGGGGGGGGGACGGGCAGCCGTTCGTCGCCAGCTGGCTGGTGTGGGATCCAAGGTCTAGTGCATGGTGCCTCTCGCGAGTACCTAGTAGGAACACCATTCAAAACAACAACAAAAAAACACCGAAATGCTTTTGAATCTTAAACAGAAGTTAAAACAAAACAGTTAAAACAGTTAAATTTAAAACAGACCGTAAGTAGACGAAACTTTTATGAAGTTCTGGGAATGTTTTTGGGGGGGCTCAAAACAAACTCAGAGGTTTTAGGGGGGGGGGGCATGGCCTCCACCCCCAGGATCCGCCTATGTGTGGGCTTCCACATTAGCAGGAAGTGCAGCACTTGTGCTAGTAAAGCTTAGAATTATCACGGCCAAGGTCACAATCAAGGCCAATAATCTATGGCAACATCATGACCTTATAAATCATTTGCCCGATTTCTTTTGCATCCAGCCGTCAGGAGCTTTCAACATGTGGATGGCTTGAATGTTTTGAACAGGCAAACTGACAAGTGTTCCGAATATCGAACGGAGCAGGTCTACATATGGTATTAAGTCTATAGATTATACTGGATTCCTAGCTGTATTTTGGATATGGTACTTCTTGACGGTAGGAGTAATGACGCAAATATATCGATACCGGCGCACTTTGAGCCGCTGCTTTGGGCGCGTGGTTCTGTTATATGGCCTTGAGGTTGGCGAGCGAGGTGCCAGGCCGGGACCGGGCCGGAACGAGGTCTGGGGGTACCGGGTTAATTTGTGCTCTGAGTACATAAGGCAACATACAACCCTCAAGACCCTTGTAAACCCAAGCGCTTGCTCTTGCCACGGCAGTTCGCCTATTGCAAAGGAAAACTTGAAAGGTCTCAAAATGAAGCGCGTGATCAAAGCGGTGCTAGTGGATCTCAGTGGAACCATTCTCATCGAGGATTGCAAGATCCCTGGTGCCAGTGAGGCACTAGACAGGTGAAAATGACCAGCTAGTGCTGTTGAATACCCATCATCATGTCATATTCAGAACCATGTATGGGCTACCATTTGGCAGGAAGGTGTGTTGATTTGCAATTGGGCAGTGCAAAGCTGAAATGTCATCTTTGGCCTTGCTGAGGATTTACCCATGGCTTACATGAACATGCTAAACATCAGTTGTCTTCTATAACCCAGAAAACATTGTTAATAATAAGAAAACATGGACATGATGTTTTACCTTGTGGATATAATAGCTATGATACATATCAATGAATAGTTATGGTACATGCCAGGCTCTAACATCAACAACACGGTACTTATGCAAGGAGGCCATCCAGACATATCAAGGCCAGCCTTTTTCTTTTCCTTTTTTCAAGGTGTAGCTTTTGTGCACCTAGGGTTAAAGACATATTAAGATACACCCGTGATTTGTGGAGCCCTTTGAAATGACATCTGAAGAACAATGAAAAATAATTTTCAAATTTTTTATGCTAGGTGCACATGCATTGTGCATATATTAAAAAAAGAATGCATTATTTTGTGAAAATATCTTAAAAACACCTTGGTTCCTAGTCACCTAACTTTTCTCCTTTGAAAGATAAGCAGTTTTGTATTGATAGTGTCAATGGGTGGATGCTGAATGGTGTTCAGGTCTGAAGTCCCACTTGTTGGTAAAGTGGTAATGCTTTGTCAGCATACAAATGTAAAAGCATCTGATACTTCTGATGAAATCTAAGATCAAAGTTTGATAGATCTTTCTAAATCTAAGATCAAGATCAGATAATCATATAAGGCTCACTGAGGATGTTCCTGAGGCTGCATCCATGAGTGCTTGCACTAATGACTAATGTGGAATGATTGTTGAGAACATAAAAAATCCATTTTTCCATTTTTTTCTCTAGTAGGCTAGATGTGTATAATAAATGCAAGACACATAATTACTATCTCATGAACATCTTTGCCATGTACAGCCTCTGTCATGCAAAACACTGAGATTTGACAAAACCTTGCTGGGTGCCATTGTTTAATGTTACATTACAGTGTTACAAGAAACTGGACATCTTGCAGGCTGCGTAAGACCGATGTGAAGGTCCGCTTTGTCACCAATGCCAGTAAGGAGTCACTGTCGATGCTGCACGGACGCCTATCAGCGCTCGGCTTCGGCATCGCGCGCAACGAGATCTTCAGCTCGCTGAGCGCGGCCCGGCAGCTGGTGGACCAGCGCCAGTTACGGCCGCTGCTGCTGCTGCAGCCAGAGGCGCTCGAGGACTTTGCCAGTGTTGACACGGCCAATCCGAACGCCGTGCTGGTCGGCCTGGCGCCTGACCACTTCAACTATGACGCGCTGACTCGGGCATTCAGGTGTGACACTAGGTGGCCACACGTGCGGCCGGGCACGGTCTGGTTGTCTGTGCGCAGCTCGGCGCCCGGTGTTGCTGTAAAGCCCTTCCCTTGGGACCCGCTGTCATTCCCAGACTGTTGTCGGATGTTGCTGTAATGCTCTTCCCTTAAGACTCCTTGTTGTTCTTAGTCTGGTGCCCAATATTGCTGTAATGCTCTGCTGTTAAGACCCATTGCCATTCTCAGTCTGGTGCTCGATGTTGCTGTAATGTTATTTCTTGAGACCCATTGTCATCCTCAGCCCGCTGTCGGATGTTGCTGTTACTCTCTTCCCTTGAGACCCACTGTCATTCTCAGCCTGATTCCCTGTGTTGTTTTAATTCTCTAACGAGATTAACTTATGTGGTGCTCTTGAAACCCACTGTCGTTCTCATCCGGCTGTCTGGTGTTTCTGTAAGGCCCTTGCCTCGAGGCTCACTGTCGTTCTCATCGCGGTGCCTGGTATGCCTGAAAGGAGCTTTCCTTGAGCAGTGGAAGCCGTTCTTAGTCATTCTGGACTGTCGTCAGTCTGAGATGTCTCATACTCTCCTAGCGACTCTACTTTAGAGACTGGCTGTCGCTCCCAGCACGGCGCCTGACCTTTCCAGTGCTGTCCTCCGGAGGTCCCCTAAGGCGGTCGTTCTCGAGCCGCCGTTCTCCAGCTGCCACGGCTCTGGTCGCCTGCTCCCCAGACTGGTGCTGGAGGGCGCGGATCTGATCGCCATTCACAAGGGGCGCTACTTCCGGCGGTCTGACGGGCTGGCGCTGGGCCCGGGGCCGTTCGTCGCCGGGCTGGAGTACGCCACCGGCCGGCACGCGGAGGTCATCGGCAAGCCGAGTGCAGCCTTCTTCCGGGCTGCCCTAGACGGGCTGGGCTGCCAGCCGGAAGAGGCCGTCATGATCGGGGACGTGAGTGGTGTCCATATCCCTAGCTCACTGGCGGGTGTAACCACACCCTTAAGGATGGGAGGAGAAATCAGCTTTGGAAGGGTCAAACTGGAACCTGGGACAATAACCTGACCTGAAAATTACACTTTGAATGGGAATACGCAAAAGGCGTGTATTCTGCGCGACAAATTGGGGGAAACCCATTTGGGAAAAATTGGAGGGCATGTCTCCTGCCCCTCCCCTCGACCCCAGTGGTTACATTAATGTTGCTCACAACTGATTAAGTGCAGCTCGGTGCTGTTTTAATCAGGTGTTGGGAGCCGACACCGTTTCATTGCTAGCGGTTATGGAGCTGTTATGTGTATTGGAAGTATTGGAAGCCAGTACCAGTGACAACCAAACCTCGCCGGTCGTGGGTCGGTACCCATGCATGCTAACTTGCGCCAGTGCTGTTTCTGCACAGTTTGTTGGAAACTGTGGAACCTTGACATACACAGTTTGAAGTTGAATGTGTATGGATCTCTTTTGACTGTGCACAATAGGCAAAGTGGTGATGTTGATGATGATGAACCCATGAATGAAAACTGCGCACCAATTGTGCTTGGCGCACAAAATATCTCTTTTTATGGAGCCAAATTGTGTAAAACGTAACACTTGGTGGACCAATGGCGGCTTGTGATCAGGCTGTGTGTTCACCATTGTTGCATACTGATGGACCTCCTATACCCATGGTGGGTATGAGAACCCTAGCGCGATCTCCGTACAACGCCGTCCCCTCCGCGTCCTTCGCCGCCGGTGCGGCGCGTCATCGTCCGCACTGACGCCGTCCGACCCGGCGCCGGCAGGACGCGCGCGATGACGTGGGCGGCGCCCAGGCGGTCGGCCTGTCCGGCGTGCTGGTGCGCACCGGCAAGTACCGGCCGGGCGACGAGGCGCTGATCGAGCCGCCGCCGGCGCACGTGGCCGACTCGTTCCCGGAGGCGGTGCAGTACGTGCTGCAGCAACTGGCGGACGGCGCGCCGGCCCCGGCGGACGACAGCTAGCGCGGCGCGGCCGGTCTCGGTGGAATGCTGGCGGTCGAGTGTGGACTGTGGACTGCGGTGGGTGTTCGGTCTTGCCGGTCTCGCCGGTCTGCTGGCGGTCGAGTGTGGACTGTGGACTGCGGTGGGTGTTCGGTCTTGCCGGTCTCACTGGTCTTGCTGGCGGTCGAGTGTGGACTGTGGACTGTGGTGGATGTTCGGTCTTGCCGGTCTCGCCGGTCTGCTGGCGGTCGAGTGTGGACTGTGGACTGCGGTGGGTGTTCGGTCTTGCCGGTCTCGCCGGTCTGCTGGCGGTCGAGTGTGGACTGTGGACTGCGGTGGGTGTTCGGTCTCGCCGGTCTGCTGGCGGTCGAGCGTGGACTGTGGACTGCGGTGGGTGTTCGGTCTTGCCGGTCTCGCCGGTCTGCTGGAGGTCGAGTGTGGACTGTGGACTGCGGTGGATGTGGTTGACGTAGTTTTTGGTCTTGTCACGACGCCCTGCTGACGATGGCCATGCAGGTGCTGTAGTCTTGTTTTGACTTGCTTTTTTAGAGGGGCAAGGCTGGTTCCTTGGGGGTGGTGAGTTAGCAAGCCACCGTGTCGCAGAGTAAGCACGCGTTGTAAGGTGAGAAATATCACGCCAGGTGTCATCCATTGGTGTGGCGGTTCGGACACAAATGCAATAGAAAATAATTATCTTGTCCGTGTTGTATTCTTCCGGTAGTCGATCCGATGCCTAACGGCTGCCGTGTTTATTCCACATGCGCTAGCGGCATGCGGTTTTGCAGTGTGCGGTCGTGAGCATAGTTGAGTGGTGTGGTGACGAGGCTACCGAACTGTATCCGATTAGCGCACCGGTCGTGGATCGTCGGTCAGAGGCCGCCAGACAACTCACCAGATTATTATTATCGGGAAAAGGCGATGCAGTCAGCCGTACATCAGGACGTTAGTTGCCGGGCGCGTACTAAATTTATGAAGAACATGATCGTGCAACATGACCGTGCAAACACGATGGTGGCCGGTTCTGGGACAGACTTGAACGCATGTCTGTTGGCCACGCGCCGGCAATATATGGTTGGTGCTTGCGACGCCGCCTTTCGAACGTTTCTTGGTACCGGAGAAGTTCCAGCATTTCCAGATGCCACTCTAGTACCGCCCTTACTGATGCAGCAGCGACCACTGGTACCGCGGTGGTAGAATCTTAGACCTCTGGTGTTGTCTCGGCGGTATCAGCAGTTGCGTCGTGGTACGACGCAACGGCGTATACCGCGAGCCGCTGTCGAACCACGGCTAACTGTCAGGATACAAACACTCCCGACTCCCTACTTCGGCACAGTGTGCTGTGAGAGGAGAGTGGAGCTGGTGAGCAACTACAGAGGGATGAGAATGGCGCAGCGGGCCGTCCCTCGAGACGTCCCCCTAAACGCACCGCCCACCCCGTTGTTCACCACTACCCAGGTCTGCGTCATTCATCATGTCCTTCGAGCCGATATCTTCAGCTATTGTTCATTGTTTAAAATTGAAGGAGCTTTTGATATCACGCTTCCGACGTTGAATTTGTTTCTTATATGGTTGTTACCTTTGCTCAGAGCTTCTTGATCTCTGAATGATCAAATTGGTGGCCGTAACCTGACGGCGTGCGCCACATGCGCCACATTGATTACTGTGCTTTGTTTGCTTGCGTGGGGTTGGTGTGCTGACGGACGTCAATATTTTTGTTCGGGAGTTTCGAGGCTTGTGATAAAATGAAGGCGTTTACGTTTTCACGAAGGGCGTTGTCCTTTGACTGGTCTTGTTTTCGTCAACATGCATAGGGGATACTCGATTGATCTTTGTTGAATTGTCTGTATGACGGCAAAACAAGAATGTCGCGAAGAACTGCCTTATCACTGCCTTCAGACAGCTTTTCTGAATGCCCAAATGACCCGCTTAGGGAAATGTTTGAGGCCTGTAGAGTTGGTGAGATTTCAAAAGTAAAGAAGCTTGTTACAAACCAAACAGTGAATGCCAGGGATAGTGCTGGTCGGAAGTCATCTCCACTCCACATTGCAGCAGGTGGGTGCTGTATTTTTTGTTTGAGTTCTTTTTATTGTTAACAGCGGTTCTCTCTGTGTCTTTATCCCCTTGCTTCCTAGATCTCACTGTAAAATTATCACAGCTTGCTGCTGTGACATTTTGTTGGTAATGTTTGGTAAGAGCAGAGTTTGTCATCAGATACCATTTTGATTGACAATGTAATGGGACATGCACATTTAAAGGGTTTTTGTTGTACAAAATGTCATGAAAGTGGTTCACAGTATTACTGTCATTATGTTATTAAACCTTATTATAATAATATTGTATGTTATACCTTTGGGGTTTGTTTTCCCAGTTCAGTTGGATGTTCAAGGTCAAAGTGGAGTAGTACCTTCATTTGTGTCTTTTGATGGATGTACCTTAATGCCAGGTTGCCAAACATCTGGTACTCAATTCACAAAAAATATATATGCACCAAATTATGGAAACCTGTGCAAGAAATGCATATATCAAATGCTAAGGGATGGAAGATGTAACTTACATCCAGCCAAATAAATTTAGTATTGCTTTTTGGGATGTTTCAGTTATTGTGTTAAACATGCAAGAACAAGAATTTGCAGCCTCTGCAGCATGCCACCTCATACTTAATGCATCTTGCATGTATGTGCATTAATGAGAGTTCAAATTTCCCAAGAGAACACTGTGAAATGGTAATCCCACTGCCATTATTCATGAAATTGCATATATCCTACAGGCAGATTATGTAGTAGGTGTAATACATGGGCTGGTTCAAGTCTTATATAAATGTTTGCTACTAAATTTTGACTTGTGTGCCCAGCATTTGTGCATCCAAATATATTATATATGGTTAAGAATAGATACTTCACTTTGACCAGCATTTGAAAATAAGATGAACTGTCATCTAAAATATTTTTCTCTTGTATAATTATAACATGGTTAATGGTTGCATCTGGTCAATTATTGTCCAGAATGACTTGTAACATGCATTGCACTATATTTTGCAGCTGAGCTTATGTTTTTTGCATGTATCAATTAAATGCTGGGAGATTGTGCCAGATTCAGTCAGACCTTGTCTAGTCAAGCTTGTTATCTAATATGTCAAAGTCGTACATTCCTAATTTAGGTGGTACCTCCTGCTTTATAAGATTCTTTTATTGCATGATATAGGTAGAAACAGCCTAGCCTCCCTGGCAGGGCATCCCCATTATATCATGTTCAACATGGCTCCTGATGATCATTAATGCTCTGGTGGCCTGGCAACTCCATGAGGATAAGGTCTAGTTATGGAGGGAAGGGTGCTGATGAAGAGGTCATCCTTGCTGAACACTAAATGCTTATGTATTTTATTTTATGCATATATCACATGTCTCTAAATTTGCCAATAGTTTTGTGTCTCACTTTGTGGTCTGGCATAAAATGCATTATGCTCTTTGAACATGGGGTCCATGTTGCTGGTACAGGCACGGTAGTGTCCTATGCCTCACTGTTGCCACATGCTTGGTCTTCCTTGCAAAGGGACCTATATTTCAATGAACAGTGTCAAAGAGACATTTCCTTTTTGGTTGAAAAGGACCTGGGTCATTTTGTTTGAAACCATGTCTATTCTAACAATGGTGGGGAAAAGCAACATAACTATTCAGAGATGTGTTTAGAAAGCCAGAGATGAACTTAATGCAAACTGTCTACATAATATTTTTTGTCTCACTCAGTTGCCAACTATGAGGATCAGACATTTCCACAGCATCTTTTTAATCAGTGCCAGCCTTGCAAACCTCACAGCAGTAGAGGTGGTTATTTGTCAGTGAAGAACTACATGTTGCATTTCATGCATCAGGGATACCTATTTACATTCACACCAAGCAATCAGAACATGGCCCCAGATCCTTGCCAGATAATAGCCTGCATGGTAATAGCTTGCTTCCATTTATGGTAACTCTTGGGTAACAGTAAAGTGACCAGCAGATAGTTCTGAAGACCCGTCAAAATTCGTGTTCTGAAACCAGGCACAGCTTTGGGTCAGATAAGCCTCATGGCACAAGTTGAGCAGGGCTGGGACTAGCTCAAAGCCCAGCTGAAGGAAGAGTGCAGAACCTAATCTGACTGGGCCAAGTCCCAGATTACCCCAGCCCTGAGCTACTCGCGGGCCCCGTCGGTGAGCGCTCGCCCTCTGCGGTGCAGGGTACGGTCGCCGGGAGGTGGTGGAGCACCTGCTGCAGGTGGGCGCCAGCGTGCACGCCCGCGACGACGGCGGCCTGATCCCGCTGCACAACGCCGGCTCGTTCGGCCACGCCGAGGTGGTGGCGCTGCTGCTGCGCGCCGGCGCCGACCCCAACGCGCGCGACAACTGGAACTACACGCCCCTGCACGAGGCCGCCATCAAGGGCAAGACGGACGTCTGCATAGGTGGGCGCGGCGGCGACGCGCGTGACACGTGCGCCTGTGGCAGGGCGTGAATTGTGCTGCGTGCTGCAGTGTGCTGACCTTCCTGCATAGGGTAGCATAGGTCGTCAAACATCAAACGTCGAACGAGAGAATATCGCTAGCCATGTTTGCTCGTAAATAAGACGTGTTGCACTGAAAGTAATGACACAAACATGAAATCATCGAGTGTATACATGAGGCCTGGCATTGTAGAATCGAGGCGTAGTTTTCGCCGAAAAGAGTGCGTGTTGTCATTATATTGAGCCTCGCGGCCGTCAGCGTGCGTGACTGCGGCTGGCCGCCGACCTGTCCCTGTGGTCTGCTGTGTTGCGCACTGGACGGTGCGAGGCGGCCGCCGTGCGCGCCGCCGCCTCCGCCGCCCCCTGTGACGCTCGTGTGACGGCCTGGCCGTCCGGTGCAGTGCTGCTGCAGCACTTCGCCGACCCCAACATCCGCAACACGGACGGCAAGACGGCGCTGGACCTGGCCGACCTGGCCACGCGGGCCGTACTCACCGGTCAGTCGACCCCGCGCGCGGCGGGCGAGGGCTGTCTATTAACGTCGCACGCTCACAGAGCACAGCGGTGCCTGATACTGGGGAATCGTGTTAAGACTCAAGTGTATCCTGCTTAAGTGGCACATGATTTCAGTACGCTTGCAGAGGGGGCAGACACTTGTAGTCATTGCGGTACAATAGGCTGCGTGTTTTCATCCGGAAGACGTACCAGGTACGCCTCCCGCCGATTCGAAAACGGCCAGAGGGTGTCTAGGGGTCCTAACTGGCTCCAAACTGGCACCGAGTCCGAGGCGCTCGTATGTGTCGGCCCTCTAGCTTTCGGCCGGAATGTCTGCGGGATGGCCGAGAGCCGCCACATAGCGCCGCGCATCGCCCGCCTGACCTCCCGCTCCGCCGCCACCGCCGCAGGCGAGTACAAGAAGGACGAGCTTCTGGAGGCGGCCCGCTCCGGCAACGAGGAGCGCCTGCTGTCGCTGCTGACGCCGCTCAACGTCAACTGCCATGCCTCGGACGGCCGCAAGTCGACGCCGCTCCACCTGGCCTCCGGCTACAA